GGTCTATCGTGTAGGCCTTGCTGGAGCCCTGGGCATAACCACAGGCTGGGAACCAGAGCAGGGCTTGGCAGAAGAGCAATGCAGTCCAGGAAGCCGAGGATACCCGCTGGGTGCAAAAAAACCCAGATCTCTCCAGTAGCTCTGTACACAGATTCCTAGGCGATTGCACCAGAACTGCCCGACCCCTCCTGAGATAAGGAGCCATTGACAGGATAATAGAGGACGGTGTTTTGTTCCAACAGCAGGTGGGAGGAGAAAGGTGGTAACCAGGAATGCCTGGAGCGTGTTTGTATCAGTGCATGAAAGGAGAAGTCCTAGGAGGGGCATCTCTGTAGGGGACGGGCCCCTGGTGTCCGACGGAGCCTTTGCCACTGTCCCGGGCAGACGTGTGACCCATCAGACAGGCGCTAGGACGGTGCTTTCCTGACAATAAACCTGGCCGAGCACCTTGGCCGCCGACCCGAGCCCAGGGCTCCGTCCTCACAGAAAGCCTGGAGGGCTGCTGGCCTGGTGATTGCCCCGCCCGCGCGGGCGCTCCGAGAACAGCAGCACGCAGGAGCTGGCACAACCCGGCAGCGTGGACCTGGCACCGGGACGCGCCGAGCACCTTCCCCGGGCCTGGCGAAGAGCTCCACGGAGCCCGTGATGCTCACAGCAGATGGGGACCGTGCAAGGGGGACTGGGGCAGTGTTACAGCACACGCCGGGGCACACTCGCCTTGCACGCCCACCGCTCGCCCCGGTGCAAACAGACGGGGGAGCGGTTGTACGGCTGCTGTGCACACAACCTTGCAGTGACCTGGGGGGGGAGGGGAGCCGTTGCTGGTGTCCCTGGGGGGGTAGATCAGGTTCTACCACTTCGCTGCTTCTCCTCTCCTCAGTGGGGGTTGGGGCTTGGCTCAGCCGCTGGCTGTGAGCTCCTCTCCGCCGAGCAAGGACAGAGTCTACAGCGGGTCCTTGGCTCCGGAAAATGGGGGAATGACACAGCAGAAAAAATGCAAACAGCTGCCCTCATCCATCGCACACAGCTGGGACCGAACCCAGGAGTCCTGGCTCCCAGCCCCCTGCTCTAACCACTAGCCCCCACTCCCCTCCCCGAGCCAGGGATAGAACCCAGGAGTCCTGGCTCCCAGCCCCCCTGCTCTAACCACTAGCTCCCACTCCCCTCCCTGAGGATAGAACCCAGGAGTCCTGGCTCCCAGCCCCCCTGCTCTAACCACTAGCCCCCACTCCCCTCCCCGAGCCGGGATAGAACCCAGGAGTCCTGGCTCCCAGCCCCCTGCTCTCACCACTAGCCCCTGTCGTAGAATAGGAGGGAGATCCGGCTGGGGCTGTCCACAGCATCACAGCTTGTAAAGCCCTGGTGTAATACGCTGCTTTACACGCCCATTGGCTGCATCGCTGGCCTGCCAAGTCCTGCACCAGCCTCCGTTTCCACACGGATTTCAGCCGCAGGGCGGGAGCCTGGCAGGGGTCGGGGGGGAGGGGGCAGAGGCTCAGACAGTGGCAGGCGTGAGCGAGGGCTGTGAAGGGACAGAGCTCAGGAGCAGACCGGGTTGGCACAGACACGCACAGCGCCTGGCACGGCTTTGCCCCCAAAGGATCCCGCCTGGGATCAATGGGGCCAGATCCCAGCTGGTCCGAATGGGCCGTGGTTCCATTGGGGTCAGTGGGGCCAGATCCCAGCTGGTCCGAATGGGCCGTGGTTCCCATTGGGGTCTATGGGGCCAGATCCCAGCTGGTGTGAATGAGGGTCACTTTACAACGGAGCTCCGCCAACTGACCCTAATACGCTGCCCTGCTCCAGACCAGACTGGCGCTGCTCCATTCCTAGGGCGCGAGCCGGCTTTACACGGAACATCCCTCATTGAAATCGAATTGAGCATAATGCAGCGCTGGAGTTGCAGGCTCCTTATGTGTCAGCCAAGTTCATTCCCGGTCTTTAATCATCTAGTAACCGATGGACTTAATGTGCAATCCGCTTGTTGATAAGAGGGAGGTTCATGGTGAATCGACTAGCAAAATAGAGAAAAACAGAGAGGGGGAGAAAGCAATACAGATTGCCATGATCCTGAGGTTACAAGGATGAATGAGCAGAATTTTGGGGCCAGATCCCAGCTGGTGTGAATGGGCCGTGGCTCCACTGGGGTCAATGGGGCCAGATCCCAGCTCTTGGCCCATGAGCTAGACAGGGACAATTATACTGTTTCTTTTTGGTTCATGTTCCCGTTTGCTTTTTGAGTGACTAGAACGCAGGGACAGACAGGAGCCGGCTGGTGCCAGTGTTAACCTCGAACAAGATCTACGTAAACAGAGACTGCTACACTCACTGTCTTCTTCCAGTTCTCCCGCCGTACCAGTCCCCATTGCAAACTCTCGCCGCTCGAACACAGCACTGCTAGCCGTGGCCAAAGAATAGCCCTGATTCCCATTCACCTCCTTCCTTCGTAGCTCCTGAAAGGAGGAGGTTGGGTCATTAAGCCTTTCTGGCTCAGTGTCCCGGGGTGTCTATGGGCAGGGAGGGATGGATGGGTGGATGGATGGATGGAGGGGTGTCTATGGGCAGGGAGGGATGGATGGGTGGATGGATGGATGGAGG